TTTTATTCCTTTTTCTGTGTGGTGCGTTCTACAAAGTATTATCACCAGGTTCGTACAGGATCGAGGGTTGAGAAAAAGATCCTAGCGAGTCGCGGACGAATAAGTCAGCTATACCGAGCGAGGGAATTTCTGGCTGACCGGGTCAGTAAGATCGAGTATAGCCTGGCTTGGTCGTGAGCCAACTTTCAAAATGCCTCATAGTGATCGTGGGGGGAGGGGAGGGGGGTCGGCTGCTGTCTCTGATACTAGTCTTGTCTCATAGGATGAAACCGGGTGGTAACAAGAACTGGTGACGCCGCCCCAAGAGGCAGGTCAAAGGGACGAACAATAAGGGCTCTTTCAATGGTTTTTTTCGTGTTAGCTTAGAATCGTTAACCGGATCTTTGGGCTCTTAATTGCAAAAAGGATCTTTTTCCAGTGCAAAGTTTTTCTTTCTTGTCGTGTTTTTTGATCTTTATTTTGGCCACCCAGTACTCCGGGATTACCTAGTTCAGCGGAACAAAGACTGCGCACTGCTGCTTCATCGTGGTATCGATATGTATTGGTCATGAACCCATCAGCGTCACGTAGCCGCAGGAACCAAAGCATTGCATTGGGTTGAGGAAGCAAAAGGGCTGCAAAGCACCAGAGTGGAGCCAGGCTTGGCGGGGTTGGTTGGACCGAGCGTCTCTTAGGCCCTCTGCGCAACGAAGCAAAAGAAGCCCCAGAGAAGATCAGAACATTATCCCCCTGCGGATTGGTTGATGCTGGTCTTTGTGTGTGTGGGCGTGTGGGCGTGTGTGCGTGAGTGTGGCCTGGCTTGCCCGCTTGCCTGCTTTTCATCTGTAGTAGTCTAGTCTCTAGTTCAGTGGTTTCCTGCCCTCGATCGGTTTGCCCTGCCGTGGGAGAAAGTGTGGCGACGAGAGACAGCTAAACCCGGTTCAGTTGCTGCTGGTGCAGGTGCAGTGCAGTAGTAGACTCGGTGTTGTTCCCACCCCGATGGAAAGGGAAAAGAACCAAACCTGGCGCCGCTCTCCCGCACCGCACACACCTCTCCTCCCCAACTGAAAGGGCTTTTTACCCTGCAAATCGTCATTCACCCACAATAGTAGTTACTACTCCTCCCCAATTTTAACCGCTTCCCTATTTTACCAACACCAAGTACTGTACTGACACTGTTTAATTACATACAATACCAACACCCTCCCTCTTCCCTCTCTTCTCTCCTCCACCAGGCTCAGCTCTCTCTCTCCCAGTCTCCCCCCAACCCTGAAAAGAATTTTCTTTCCCGATTTAATTTTTCTTATTCTCCATTTTAATTTCATTTTAATTATATTTTATTTTAATTTTTAATTTTTGCCTTTTTCACCTTTTCCCCCCCCCCTCCCTTAATCACTTTTATTTTCCGATCATCTCTACATTCCTTCTTCCCTCATCTCAATCCCACCTAACACTGCCAACACATTGCACCTGCGAAACTCTTTCGACGCGTCTTCTTCTTCTGGCGCTCTTTGAGCTGCCAATCTCTGAAGAAGGCGTAAGTCCATCTCTTGGCCGCATACCTGAACGCTCTTGTCCTCCTTTAACCTTTTACTCTTTACGCTCCACCTACCGCACCATGTGTTCTATATCATGACAATCCTCGTCCTGCTAAGGACAACCTAAAGCACCGCCCTCTGGGTCGATCAGTACTTTTATTGATCGATAGCGAGAGAGCATCTTCCTTCTTGATCTTGAATTGAAGCAATTATCCTTTATTATCCTTCTCCTGGAGACTCAATATCCCATTGACTCGCCCTCCGTCTTAACTACCTACCTACCACTTACCGCCACTATCCCGCCGAGTCACCTCACCTATACGACCAACCCAACCTCCCACACCTCCGAGCCACCTTAATCTTCCTCTCACGCCATTTCCGACCTACCTCCTGTCTTACCTTATTAATATCCTAATTCTTCAAGGAATGGCACAGTTGCGTGGTGGTGAACGGCCATTTGCCTCAATACACAACCTACTGAAGATGCTACTCTCACCTCACCAGTCCAACAAGTCGGCCCCTCAAGATACCGACATGGTGGAGGATATGGATGAACCTCCTGATCACCGTTTTCTGAATACTTCAATGAACAACATGGACGAGGGTGTCGTCTACGTCAAGTCCCCCACCGCCATGTCGGATCGCAAAGAATCACTCCTTACCCGGGCCCTGAAGAACAGCCCCCCTCTCAGTCCCACCGACCACGCTTCGTCCTCGCACGAACACAGTTTCTACCGCTCCTATACCTACACGAACATCAGCGGCATCTCCACCGCAGAGCTGACCAGCGATGGTGGCCTTACCAGCCCGTCCTTGTCCAACACTCCGAGCCCGCCACTGCCTTCCCACCTGACCAGCAAGCCCTCTTCAATGGGCGACAAGCGAAAGGCGGAAGCTGTGGAGGGTGGTGAGCATGCCGTGGAGGCGAATCTGGGGCGCAAGAGGTGCATCAGCTTCGCCTGCGGTCGCAAGGCCGAAGAACCAAAGCCCGAGACATCTATCGCACAGCGTTCGACAGCCAAGACCAACGACTCCAGCCCCACACTCACGGAACCTAAGCGCAAGACCGTCCTCACGTTTGTCTGCCCGGCACGGGACCCTGAGACGAAGAGGGAACGGTCTCCCCACCGCCCGAATGCCTTCCGGTGCCGCCCCCGCGGGTCGCCTGCGCCTCTCGCACGCAAGGCTTCCCCGAAGAAAGAGACCCCTCCCGCCAAAGAAGCCGCACCTGAGAAGCCTGCACCCGAGCGTCGAGGTGTTCCTACTAAGGGCTTGGGCAAGTTCGAGGAGTCTGAGGCCACCCGCTTCCACGAGTTTGCTAGCTCCATGGATGAGGACGACGAATGGGTGACCAAGTCTGGGGAGTATGAGCAGAAGATTACGCTGAATGACTGCATGAAAAAGGAATTCGCCATCCGCAAGCTCGGGGAGGAAGCCGAGGAAGAGGCCCTTGATGAGGAGGCAGAGGAGGACGCAGACGATTCCGAGGATGACTCAACGGTCCACGACTTCTCTTCTGACGACGATGGAAATGAGTCAGACAACGAGGCTGGCTTTGCCGACTCGGATGACGAAAGTGACAATGGTTCAGACTATGAGTGGTGGGCTCCGACTAGTACGACGGCTGCCACCAGTCCTCAGGCCCCGGACTTCACTCGGTTCACGTTCAGCCGCCGCAACTCGAACACCTCGCTCGAGTCCGCAAACGATAGCCACCAGCCACAGAAATGGTCCCCCGCCTTCTCCGGAAAGACCGCTGGTCGTGTGCCGATGAAGATCCCTAAGCTGCGTCCCGGCACCCCTAACCTTCCCGATAGTACGGATTTCGTCTGCGGTACATTTGACGAGGATCGTCCTCTGGAGGCCGCTTACAAGTCTTGCATTGAGCAACGTCGTCTGTCAAAGCAAATCATCATTCCCCAGGATATCGACCCCAGTTTCCCTACCTCAGATCCCGAGGACAACGAAGACATGGACGAAGAGGATGTTGCCGAGTCTGTCCCAGAAGACGGACCCCGAGGACGGACTGGTCGGGACAGCAGCCGCAAAGCTTCTCCCCGCCAGTCTCCCAAGCGCATGGTCTCTCCCCCTCCTCCCAAGCGCATGGTCTCCCCACCTCCGCGTCGTCATGGTCGTGCATCTCCCCGCCGTCTACGGTCGCCACCACCCATGAAGCAGCGGTCTTCAACTCGGGATCTGGAGACGGTCGATGAGGTGCCTGCACAGGGACTTAACATCAGCGAACTGGTGCAGCGTCCTTCCATGTCCCGCACCAAGTCCCTCCCTCGTACCCCTAACCCATTCTTCACCAGCCTGGACAAGTCTCACCGGTGGTCTGGCATTGTTCCAGTGCAGGAGTCGCCAGAGCGCGATCTATCACGCACCCGTGAAGTGCACATGAGAGGCCCCATCGATATTGTTGAGGGTCTGGAGAAGAAGCGTCAGAAACGGAAGGAGAAGTTTTGGCGCACCCATTGCCGCAAAGCTGCCAAGGAGCAGATGGAACGGCGACCGATCCCCGGCAAAGGTGCTGAACGGATGAAGGAGCTTGGCCTCGAAGTTGCTGAGAGGTGCAGAGCTTATGGCGTTGGAGAAAGCGCCCAGCTCGTCCTATCCGTTTAGACCGATATTTTGCCTTCGAATGAGGGGATTTGAGTCCTTCTTGTACATACTTTGATTATTATTTTCCCCTTTCAGTCGCCCGCTCGAGCTTACGATTTCCCGTGTGGATCGACTGGGGTGTACAGAATTGAACCAAGCGTCATTCGCTTTTGCACTTAAGCTTGCCTTCGCTGTCCTTATTTACTCTGTCAACGTGTCCCACGGTATTCTATTGGTTCGAAATGTTCCTGTATCTGCATATGTGCTGGGCGGTCGCATTTTTCGTGTGTGTGTCTGGCTCTTCTACTTTTGCGGTTCCTTTCTGCCCTTGATCTTGTCACGATTATCGATTTTTGTTTTCTTTTTTATTGCGGTCGGTGTTTTGCTCGATTCCAGCCCGGATTTGCATGGCGGCGGATTCCTTTGAGATTATACCCCTGCTTGTTTTCTCTTTGTCAGGTTACTATTATTGTATTCAAGTCCCAAGGCAACGGGGAGCGATCCGGCTTTTTTTTATGAAGTCAAATGCCAAACATTTACATCATATACCCAAGATGAGTTGGCCAGCGAAACACGTCGTAGCATTTAGTGTAGATGCAGTTACAGCAGACAGACTTGAAGGTCGGGACCGGCAGATCTCCCGGCGGTAGAGTTGGTTGGAAGAAGTTGGTTGGCATTAGCGCTCGGCTAAGGCGTCAAGGCAAGCGACCGTCCAACGTCAACTGACCGCAATCTGTCTCCTTCCCTTCCCTCTTATCTCCCGTCCGTCTCGTATCCCAGCTCGTACCACACCACCGCCGCTGCTGCTGCTTGCTGCTGCTTGCTTTGCCTTTTCCTTCTGGAAGTTCCAGCGATTTCACTGATTTCAAGCATTTGCCCACCATGTGGATCATTAACTGGTGTAGGTAGCTCCCTTCCTGAGTCGGGTGTTATTCCATTCCCCGATGCGAACGTGCTTACTTTGCCCTGGGAGAGCGCGAACACGAGAGTGGGCATGAAAGAACGAGAGATGTTTGGCATTAGCTCATCGTTTCAGTCGCTTGTCATGTGTTCATATTCTTTTCGTGCTTGACATGCTGACAATCGCCGTTCCCTTCCATCTAGTCTACGACCTTCTGGCCTCCCTTGGCCTGCTCAACAAGCACGCCAAGCTGCTCTTCCTCGGTCTCGACAATGCCGGAAAGACCACCCTCTTGCACATGCTGAAGGTACGTGATGATGGAGTTATCACTGTCTGTGAGTGGGATAGTGTACCAACGAGGGTGGTGGATGTGTTGGATCAGTCTACCATTCTTGGGGAGGAATTGGGCATCCACAAAACAAAGCCCCCCCCTCTCTACTTGCTCGAAGATGAGACGATGGGGCCAACCTTGCAAAAGAGTCTAGAATGACAGGCTAACCTTTCGGCTCTTGCGATAGAATGACCGCGTTGCCATTCTCCAGCCTACCGCTCACCCCAGTACGTTTTTCGCCACCCCGCTGCTTCCCGCACGGCTCATATTGGTTGAGCTTCGTGATCTCGTGGTAATGCGGACTGCAAACTAACCTTGAAGCTTAGCGTCGGAGGAGCTTGCCATCGGTAACAACCGCTTCACGACCTTTGACCTGGGTGGTCACCAGCAGGGTGAGTAAACTCAATCCATTAGGGAGGAGATATTCAACTGGGGAGGGCAAGAAGGCACAAGAAACTGACGTAATGGTATATGCCCACAGCTCGCCGTCTCTGGAAGGATTACTTTCCTGAAGTCAGCGGTATCGTCTTCCTGGTCGACGCCAAGGACCACGAGCGGTTCCCCGAGTCCAAGGCCGAGTTGGACGCCCTGCTTGCGATGGAGGATCTGGCCAAGGTCCCCTTCTTGATCCTGGGCAACAAGATCGATCACCCGGATGCCGTCAGCGAGGATGAGCTCCGTCATCAGCTGGGTCTGTACCAGACCACAGGTAAGGGCAAGGTCCCTCTTGAGGGAATCCGGCCCATCGAGGTGTTCATGTGCAGTGTTGTCATGAGACAGGGTGCGTTTGGCTAAACCATTTCCCTTTTCTTTTCTGGTTGCGGATACTAATCATGTGGATTTCGCGTGCTACAGGTTACGGTGAAGGTATCAGATGGCTGTCTCAATACGTCTAAACGGTGGTATACCCATCCTTGATTTCCCGGAATCGCCTAAGCCTACCTGCCAACCGTACCGATATACACCATCCACCCTTCTTCCCCCTTAAACCCTCTTGTCTACTCTACCGCTTTCAATCTATACCAATATCTACAACCTGTCAAACATACCCCCCCCCCAGAACCACTTTCTTCCATTGCCAAGGATTGGGTGATAGTCCGGAGCTTGTTCCCGAACATCGCCCCTCTTTGAAGATTCCCTCGAATGTCATCCATGCTAGTTATGAGTTAGCCTAAACCTCGCCTCAAACTCAACGCAGAACCCCCCATCAGTCTCCCTCTGTCGCTCAGTTTGTCAGCCAGTTCCTAAACCGCTATTTTGGGAGCGAATCATCACAGCTAATTTACCCTACGGGTCCACGTGCTGGTGTGCTGTGGCTTCTGCTGCTGCTGATTCCGCATCCCTATCCACCCATCTCAAGCAAATCCCATTGGCCCTAGTACTAAACTTGCGTGTGTTCTACTTGTGCCGCCACATCAGCTTCAACCATTTCTCTCGCGCTGTTAAATACTTCATCCTCGCAATTCAAACTTCCCCCAAGTACCTGGTTAGATCGACCAAGGTAGGCGATAATGATGAGCCTACATGTCGCGCAGTGTAGTAGTAGTAGTAGTAGTAGTAGTAGTAGTAGTAGTAGTAGTAGTAGTACTCCATTCCGTCTAGTTAGCGGTTGTGAACCCATTCATTATTACCATCGGCCGCATCCCACACATCAACATCCTGATTGAGATCAAAATCAACGAAGTAGAAAGAACAGAGCATGCCCCTTATCCGTATCTCAGATAGCAGGGATTGAGTACAGGCCAACTGAGCCTCCACACATCGTTTCACACTCTACTCCCCCCCAGCCCCCTTCAAAATCCTCTCTTCTAACACCATGATCAAAAAGCCCAAAGTCCAAGCCGCATTCCTCCTAAACAGCTACTTTCCACAAAGGGGGGGGGGGGGGGGACATAGCGGTGCCACCTACCCACCATACCCTCAAAACCAAGCACACCTTACTGATCTACTCCCCGCATTGACTCTTACAGAGGCCGGGATTTTGTTCACGAACGCACAAACGAAACGATTGCCGTTCGAAACGATGAAGCAGTAGGTGGATTGGATTTCTCTTAACTTCTGTGAAATCTTCTTTGCGACCCTAAACATCCACTGAACGCCGCCGGATGCAGAACCTGGTCTATCGTCTTCTATTGATATGAAATCTTCTGGTCTCAGATGTCGAGTAACTGAGATGGAAATGACGTTGTCACTAGTGAGGCGTGGTACGGACGAGGAGGGATCGATCAGCTGTTCGTGGGAAAAGGAATGTATTACCATAGTACCATACATTGAGGGCGTGGTCTCAATTGGGGAGGGGGAGGGTGGCGATATGTTGGGTGAGGGTGTTATGTGGCCGAATCAACTTGGAAAGCGAGTTTTGTCGAGCAGCAAGCAGTGGTGGGCGATGATGCTTGTTGGAAAGTATATGGTCACGTGCCGGATGGTTGATAAAGGGCAGGGCAGCACAGGACAGGGTATGGATGGTCTCGTCCGGAACGTCAAAAGACACGGGCGTGTCATTGCTTATTTGGTTGGCATTACACTCACAAGAAGATTTTCAGGAAAGAAGAAAAACGCAAATGGAGAACAACACCAGATGCAAGCCCGTCGCTTCGCCTTCCTCTGTCAAATGGATTCGAACAACATGAGATAAGATGGGTAAAGAAGAAAGGAAAAAAAAGAGGTCAATGAAGACGAACAAGGAGAAAGGAGAAGGAAATGAGAAATAACACCAACCCCTACTTGGGAGCAGAAACTACCTTCCATGTAAGAAAAATGAAAACACATTCAGCGGTAAACATTCATTTGCAAGTCGCTGGATTCTGGAATTCCGGAAGTGGATGATTGTGTTGTGTTGTGTGACGTTCCGCGTGGTCGTGAGGTTCTCGGGCGGCTCAGGTGTGCTGCTGCTGCTGCCGATCGTCTAGTTTCATGGCCATCGATGTCGTTGGGGGTTTGGGTCTCTCGCTATAGTGTGACATGGTGGGAGTTTTGTTGTTGACGAAGTTTATCTTCGCCCGAACCTGCTGCACATGGAAAAGCTCGTATGATTCCTTACTTCTTCTTTTGCTTTCGCGGAGGAGTGATGGGCCTGCCTGAGCTCATGCCCCCGTAAACGTACTTTTGTTTCTTCTCTGCTGGTTTCAGGATCTATTGGGGGCAAAAAGGTTAGCGCTAGCCGGAGAACACCCGAAATTCCTTGTCAAAACCAACCTGGAAGGAGCATAGTAGACTTTCGTCGACGCTCATCATTGCACCAGCATTGTCGAATTCGCCGCAGTAGTTGGGCGCACTGAACAATGTGACGAGTTGCCTCTTGGAGAAAAACTCATATCCATCCTCAACGACTTGATGCGCACGACATATCAAGTCCATGTCGTGCTTCTGAAGGAATCGCGATACAACATCCGGGCCGAACGTGAACGAAACGCCACGGTCGTTCTCGCTCCAGCCGGTGATGTCTTTGTCGGGGTCAGACCACAGAAGGTCACACAGGAGACCGCAGTCGGGAATCTATCTCTGTCAGCAGGTGAAGCCTCGAAGCTTCAAGGGGCCCGAGAATATCCTTCGCTTCCAAGTAATCCCAAGATGCAGGTGGAAAGAGAGCAGAAAGGCGGGCAAAGTAGTTCTTGGTCTTTGGATAACGAACGAACTCCCAGAACCGGCAACCGAAACAAAAATAGACTTACATCAGTAGGACGCATGACGCGCCGAATCTGCTCCATGGAGTTCAAATCGGGACTCAAACCTCCGTGCATGGTGAAAATCTTCTCATCAATGATGGCGGCAATGGGCAAGCAGTTGAAGCAATCAGTGAAAGTCTTCCATAGCTTGATGTTGTACCTCCGCTTGCATTCATCGTAGAAACCATAGATACGGTTGATAGAGGCACACTCGTGGTTGCCACGCAGGACGAAGAAGTTCTCGGGGTACTTGATCTTGTAGGCCAGGAGCAAGCAGATGGTCTCCAAGGATTGCTTGCCACGATCGACGTAGTCTCCGAGGAAAAGGTAATTAGCCTCAGGGGGGAAGCCACCGTATTCGAACAGACGCAGGAGGTCGTAGTATTGGCCGTGAATATCACCGCAGATCTGATGAGAACCGCCCGGTTAATGACACTCAATCTAAATCGGATGGCTCGGTATTGGAAGATTCGAAAAAAGAGGTGGCGTTACCTTGATTGGTGCTTCCAATTCCAGCAGGATAGGCTGGGAGATGAAAATCTCTCTCGCCTTAGTGCACAGATAACGGATCTCGGATTCCAAAAGCTGAACTTGTTTGCCTGGCCGGCTACCCCTCACCTCCAGCAATCTATCGATGATCGAATCCAAATCCACTTCCTGATCGGCCATGACTGGGCGATTTTGATGAGACACGACGGGGAGCGGGGGGTGGAAGGAGAAGAACAGAGGAAGGGAAGGTGGGAAAGGAAAAAGATTATTAAGAACAAGCGTCAAGCGAAGGAAAGGAAAGGAAAAGACGCGACGGAAGGCTTTGCGGTGCGCTCGCTAGTAGGACAACTGATGAGAGAACGTCTACTTAGCTGAATAGCAGATGAGGTTTGAAGTCAGAAAATTGTTCCCGGATATGAGATAGAGGTTGGTGGTGGTGGTGGTGGTGGTGGTGGATAGAGTTTTGGGGAAAAGAGGCGATCGAGACGCGCGGGGGAAAAGATCATTGCGCCCGGTGAATTTTTCCTCGACCCTTTTCGCCGATTTCCGCCCACCAATCTATTGTCTTCTTTGCCTCCAGGGGGGGAGAGGAGGGGGGGAGAGGAAAGAATCAAGAGTCAAGGGGAGGGAGCAAGATAGAGAGCTTACCAGCCAGAATCTATTAAGACGAGAGCGATGAAGCAAAAAGAGGCCAAATGGCCTTGAGGGGGAGAGGGGGAAAGTCAGATGAAGGTCTGGCCGGGGGAGATGCCAGAAGACGTCAAGAGAAGAAAGCAATCCGTGGTCGAAAAAGGTGGAGGATGATGCGCAGTGGTGATAACGAGGAGATGCGGCTAGCAAAGGCTCGAGAGCGAAAGGGCTGCTCTGGACGGGGCCGTTGCAAAAAATAGCAGCAGGCGGCGGGAGAGATGGTTTTTTGGGGGGAGGGAAGAAAGAGGAGAGAAAGAGAGAGAGAGAGAGAGACCCAGAGAGACCCAGAGCAAGTTTGGCGGCGGGTAAGAAAGGCAGGAAAACTGAGGATTCCACCCAAAAGATCTAGCGCTCTAAAAGACACCGGGTGCTAACGGCAATCGCGAAGAATCTCTTCGAATAAAGGGAGGGTGAAAAGCTTTTGTTTTCTCTGATATCAACTGGATGGTGATGAGAGAGAGAGAGAGAGGGGTGGGAGGAGTGTGAGAGGAGAAAAAAAATAATTAAGAAGGAAAATGATGGAGGGGAGGGTAGGAGAGGGGAAGTCGAGTGCGCGCACGCAGTAACTCAAAAGAAGAGAAGCAAGAAGAAAACAATTGTTGGTCGGCAATCAAGGGGATCTATCTTTCTAGGAACTGTGCTCCAGCTGGACAAATGATGGCCGATTTTTGGAGATTCTTCGCCCAAACGAAGTCGAATGGATACAGACGAAGAAGATATAGATGGAACCCAACGAACTGTATAGGAAAGGAGTACGGAGTAGCCAGGCAGCAAAAGGTGGATGGAGGAAGAGAAGTACGGAGTACTAGAGCGATAACGAAGCAACAACTTTCCAGCAGCACAAGAGACGCGCGCGCGCGAGAGAGTGGGTGGGCAAGTGGGCAGTGGGCAGTGGGCAGTGGGTAGCGTAGCGGGCAGTGATTGAGTGGGCAGTGGAGAGTGAGGAAGTAAAGAAGAAGAGGTGGAGAGGATGAAGCGGCGCGGGAGAGCCAGGAGAAAGAGAGGGAAAAGGATTCTTTCTCTGTTACTTCCATCGGTATGGCAAAATCCTC